TTTATATGTTTTATTTTTCTTTTTTTTTTTCACTGCATGACTTTACTGTTTAGCGCTTGGAGACGCCGACCAGAGCGGGGCGTATGCAACGTTTGTGCAATTTGTAGCCCAATTTGTTGACCTGCACCACAGTGTCGGCATCGACCGATTTGTCCACCGTCTGAAAGAGCGCCTCATGCAGATTGGGATCGAATTTCTGATTGATCGGATCCAAGATCTCGACGCCATGCCGCTTGAACACCTGCTGCAGCGAGGCGCGCGTCAGATTGAGGCCCTCGTACAGGCTCTTCAGTTCGGCATTCGTGCTCAGCTTGTCCTTGGGCACCGACCGGGTGGCATGGCCGAGGACATCGGCCACCTCGATCAGATCCTTGCAGAAGCCCTGTATGCCAAAGAGCTTGGCCTCGTCGATCTGCCTGTTCAGCCGACGGCGCAAGTTCTCCCCGTCGGCCAGCGCGCGCTTGTACTTGTCCAGCAGCTGCTTGTGCTCCACCTTGATGGTGGCCAGCTCCTGCGTCAGCCAATCGACTTCCGACATGGCCGCTCCACCCTTCGACTCATCGTCATGCGATGGTGTTTGCTCTGGCGATAGTTCTTGCTTTTGCGATGACTCCTGCTGCTGCTGCTGCTGCTGCTGCTGCTCCTTCATTTGCTTGGAGGACTTTTGCTGCGGCATTTGCTTGGACGACTTCTGCTGCTGTGGCTGCTGTTGTTGTTGTTTCTGCTGCTGTTGCGGCTGCTGCTGCTGCTGCTGCTTCTGCGGCTGCTGTTGTTGATTTTGCATTTTCTTTGTACTGTAAATGCGACCAACTTGCTGAGCAGCAGTTGAGCGGCCCGTGAGCAAGTTATGTGCCATTGCCATAGCCCGGAGCTGGTCCAAACGTTTGGTGAGCATCCTCAATGCGAGTGCGGACGGAGCAGACTGCTTGCAATCGATACGAGTTGATGATTGAAAACTTGTAAAACTTTTAACTTTCAGTTGTAAAATATGAAATTTTGTTTATTTCAGCGCCTGCTCTCAAATGATTGACTCCAGCTCAACGTGTAGCAGCCATGCTGTGAATTCTATCGATAGCTCGATAGGACTATACATAATATATTATTCTAACAATCAAACTATATACATGATTTGAGCTTGATATAATTTATATTTGCATACAAAGTATATGTAATTTCTAGCAATAATAATTGGATATACTTGCTTCACTCTTCTGAAATTTGGTGTTAAATCAATCGATAGTGATTTTGATTGACAATACTCATATCGTATGGACGTTAGCCAACACTTGAGATCCCCAACAATTGGAGGCTTATGAAATATGCTTTGCTAATGGGCCGTCGATCGGGCCTGGACCCTTTGGCTTGCGTGTGCAGCGCTTGCCGTCTCCCATCTCCCATCTTCCGTCTGCCGTCTCCCGTCTGCCGTCTCCTGCCACCAGGTCTGGCACCACAAATAGAATTGACACGCTCGCTGTCGGCGTCGCAGTCGGCGCAGTTGCATGCCCACGTCAGCGTCGCTAACAATAATAACAACAAGCTGGGCGCAATGCCCACATCGGGTCGGAGCGGGCCTCGACATCGTCTTATCATAATGATGACGTTTACATTTCAATTAACGAAGAACAACATAATTGCAGCAGTCAAATTATATAATTATACACAAACAACACACACACACACGCACACGCACAGACACAGACACGCTCGCACTCAAACACACACACACACACACACACACACATGTGTGTTTAAATATAACGAGCTGTCTGAGTGGGGCGGAGGGATTGGGTATTGGAGCCGTCGCATCGACATGGCTCTGGCATTTGATGCATATTGAAGGCGGCTGGCTCTTTGGCATTGGGATCCGCTGCTCTGTGGCAGCTGCAACGTTGCGGCCGGCGACGTCAAATGCTATGCAGGTGTTGCCCCATGTGTCAAAAAATAATCATTTTGGAAATCACTTCACAGCCAACAAAGAGCGTGAGAGAGAGAGGGAGGCAGAGCGAGGTGGAGAGGGGAGGAGCGTGCGGTGCCCGAGGGAGGTGGAGAGTTTGGGCGACGGCGTGGTGGGGCAGAGAGATATGAAAAATGCGTTCGTTAAATGCACCCGGAACGGTGCAACGTGCCGCCACGCAATGGGGCAACATGAGTGCCGGACCAGCGAGAGCAAACATGGCAGCCATAATGCAGCGCAGGCCAGCGCCTGCCAGTCAAGTGTTCGAGCAGCAGGCAGCGTGCGAAGCAAAGCAAAGCACAGCAAAAGCCCAGCCAGATCCAGACCAGACCAGGGCAGACCAGGGCAGACCGGGGCAGGCCATAATTTGTATAAAGCGCTGTCTGTCTTATAATTCCATTTCAACATTCAATTCAATGAACGACTTGAAGCAGTTCCCAGTCAGTCCAGTCGATCGCAATGGGTCGCAGCTGCGTGCAGCTACACTGAGCGAAATAAACGGGCTGCAGGCGAACTTGAGAGCGTGTAGCGTAGCAAAATGAGCTTAATTATGAAAAACTGCAGTCCACGTGTAGCGAAATAGGCGAGGAATAGTGTTAGATAACGCCGCAAAAAAGCACACTGCGGGCGAAAGCAGTGTTGGGTAACGCTACAAAATGAAAACCGCAACCCATGGTCAATGAAATATGCCGAAAATAGTGCTGTACAACGCCGAGTTGGGTAACGCAATGAAATAAACTCAATATATGCGAATAGATTATTAATTGTTATGGCAAAATATGCCGAAAACAGTGTTGGACAACGCAGCAAAAACAGATTAATTATAAATATGAATACTGCTATCTTAATATATTTATATGCCACTCAATTCATTCATTTAATACACTTAAATACAGCGAAAATATTTAGCAAACAGTATAAAATTGCAATTAAAAAATGTACGACTTTATCGAAACGGCTGTTAATACTTCCTTCTCTCTCTATCTCTCTCTCTCCCTCGCCTTGGCTGCTTTGACAAGCTTTACACAACATACTTTTCCACATGAATCGATAACATATGGAACATTTTTTCGATTTCTATTCCCAAATCAACTCTGCTGGCTGTTGTAAAAAGTCATCGTTATGAAGCATCATAGAATTCATTGACATTCAATTCACACACGTGTAACTGGGTAGAGCTCTACTAGCTTCCAATATTTTTACATTTTTTCATTATTGCTAGCACCTTTGTACTGAAGCCAGCTTTTTATTTTTGTTATTTTATTCCAAATTTTTACGGTCTTTTCCAAATTATCGTATTTCGATTCAAAGTAAAAAAACGCGAAATGGCATCCGATCTAAATGAAATGATACCTGATAACTGTGAGGAGGAGCTGCAGGCATGCCCGCACTGCAATCGCACATTCAATCCGAGTGTCCTGACCAAACATGCGGACATCTGTGCTCGCGTTTTGAAGAAACGTGAAGTATTTGATTCTTCGCTTCAACGTCGCGAAAAATTCAGATACTACAACACGAGCCTCAGGTCGACTCGCGAGCCTCAGCCCAGCACGTCACATTCAACTTATACAGTGACCAATAGGAACTCGGCCGTTCCCCCTGCGGATTCAGCTTCTCAACAGGATTTGGCTGCGGCCGTACCATCTCGATCGGATACGTCTAATAAAACCAAGCGCAAATCAGAGCCAAGCTCATCTGCAAGCCTAGAGTCCTCAACGAGCAGGCGCCTCGACTCCCTTCCACTGGAGCGCTGTCCATACTGTGAACGCAAGTTCAACCAAAAAGTCATAGACAGCCATCTTGCGTTCTGCAAGGAGAAGAGTGTGAAAGCAGCCTTTACCGTCGCCTACGGGACCAGCAAAGATGACAAACTATCGGCTAAGAAGCGCATGGAGGCACGCATGAAGTACAAGCCCCCAAAGCCAAAGTGAGTAATTTTTCTGACATATGTTGACAATCACTAATGAGTAATGATAAGTAATGTATAATGTCTAACTGTCAGTGTCATATGACCAAATGATAATGCCAAAGACTAATGATAATACCAAATGCGTAATGACAATAACCAATGACAAATGACTGATGGACAATGTTCAATAACCAAAGAGCTATGACAAATCATCAATGACTAATGCTTAATTAGCCAATATTGACTAATTACCAATAATCAATGACTAATGACTAATATCTAATAACCAATGCCCAACGACCAACGACCAATGCCATATTACTAATCACTAATGGCCAATGCATCAAATGCCAAATAACTAATAACCAATGACCAATGACCAATGACCAATGACCAGTGACCAATGAACAATGAACAATGAACAATGAACAATGAACAATGAACAATGAACAATGACCTATGACTAATGAACAATGACCAATAGCCCATGGCCAATGGCCAATGACCAATGAACAATGAACAATGAACAATGACCAATGACCAATAAACAATGACCAATGAACAATGAACAATGAACAATGAACAGTGAACAATGACCAATGACCAATGACCTATGACTAATGAACAATGACCAATAACCCATGGCCAATAACTAATGATCAATAACCAATGACCAATGACCAATGACCAATAACCAATGAACAATGAACAATGACCAATGAACAATGAACAATGAACAATGACCAATGACCTATGACTAATGAACAATGACCAATAACTAATGATCAATAACCAATAACCGATGGCCAACGACTAATGACTAATGACCAATGACTAATGACCAATGATTAATGAAAGTGATCAATTTTCGAATACTATTCACTACAATCAATCTCTGCAACATATTATTACAATTACAGCACAGCCCTTATCCAAACTCCCATTATCATTTCTATCATTATTGCAATTGTCCTCATTATTATTGCCAACGTATATCATATCAATTTATAATTTCATCTACTACTTCAATTCCCATTCCCGATCTAGAAGCAAGCATTCAACGCATTAACAAAATTTTCCTTGGACAAACCTTTTGACCTTCGCAAACCTTTGATATGTAATATATTTCAAATTTTAAACAAAAAAGACAATTGGACCAACACGGAAGCACACGTACTTCCGATTTTACACCAAACACGAAAAATGAAGCACAGGCAACTCAAACATAAATCAGCACCAACAAACAAAAAAAAAAGCAAATATGATCAACTCACGTTTACAACTGAAGCTGTCGCATATCACAGAGATGCAGAGTGAAATTCTATAATTCCTTAGGAGAATTATCATATCATATCATCGTAAGTTCTACAGCATATATATTTATATATAAATTGTGAATATAGAATTTCAAACTCTGTTTGTTTCTTTCAGTGTATGCTCTGCGAACAATTCAAGTCCGAAAACCAACTGACAAGTTGGTGTCCGACGTTGACGGCAACGTTGTGAAAGAGTGAGATTTTTAATTATTGTTTCCATGTAGCGCTCTCTTCTCTTGTGTGTCGCATGTCAGAGTCGCAGCAGTCCGAGCTCTTTTTATACACACATATATTTTTTATATATTTTGTAACGTAACAATCCTCACATAAGGAGCGCACACATACAAATGCTCATACGCATTTGAAGCCAGTGTGCCACAACAAAAAAGAGGAAAGGAAAAAGCAAAAAAAAAAAAAAGAAATAGAGTTACAATCAAAAACCAAAAAATAACTAAAAAAAAAAAAGAGCAAAACTCCAAACTCAAGAACGCAAAAAAAGAAAATGAAGAAGCAAAAAGGAGTTTGAGTTGGCATCAAGACAAAAAAAAAAAAAATTGAGTTAGATTCCAAACCAAAAAAAAAAAAGGAGCACAACCCAAAACTCAAGAAAACGAACTGCTGGCCAACTGAAATTGTTTTCTATCGTGACACATGAGAGCGCTTCATAAGGTGCTGCTAAATAAAAACTTGCCTGTGTGTATAATTTTTCATAAAACGGTCCCACAAATGTGTAATAATTTATTAACATTTCGCTGCCACACAAGACACGCACACTCACACTGACAGACATCACATACCTCAGCCATTTAGTGGTTTCGCTTTCAGCATTTTTTATTTAACCCGATTGAAAGCAAATTGAATAGCAACAGCAACAGCAGTGGCACCTGCACCTGTACAGGAACTACCTGTAGTGCGGTGGGGGTGGTGGGGGCAGCGGTGGGGTCGAACTGCTTTCCGGAGATATGGTAACTATATAGACGCTGGCCCAGCCGGGTAAATGGCAGCAGCGGCGCTGCTCTTGTTTGATGAAGCGCATTAAACAAATAACGCTCTGGCAATTTTTCATTAAAAACTCGCAGACAGCCAACACATTTGAGTTGAAATGGTTAGAGCGAGTCGCTCCCATCTCTCGCTCTCCCCCTTTCCATATTGCGTACCAGATTTGCCGTCGTTGTGTGGTGCTAATGCAGCTTTGGCGTGTGTGCCGCATTGCCATTTGATGCACTCCACTCCATTACACATTGGCATTGTGTGCGCAGATAGCAGAAAACGAGCTGCTTCCAGCCGGAGCAGGTAAAAGGAGCTGAAGCACAGGAGACGTGGTACACGGTAGACGGGAGATGGGAGGCGGGAGGCAGACTAATGAGCGCCACGAAAACGAGCTATGCCCACACAACTTAAATGTTCTCTTCGCTCATAATGTAAGAATCATGTTGTACAACAGCAAAAAAAAAAAAAAAAAAAAAATAAAACATTGAACGTTGCATGTTGGGAACTAACAAATATCAGTTTGAACCAGCGCAGTGGAACCAGTTGGCAATGCCGAACTGCAGTTGTTCGCTCCTCATTGAATTATTGAATTCATTTTCGATTTGCTGCTCGTCAATGACGCAATTAAAGCTGCAACTGCAACAGCTCATAAATTTTGAATTATTAATAAAAGTGTTCAAGTATTCATTGCATTCCCCCACTCTCTCCCCTTGCCACGCCCTCTTGACACATGCTCATTCTCATTTTGGGCTGACAGCGAAAGTGAGATATCATTTGGCCGTTGCAGTTGTTAAGCCTTGACAACATGTTAAATGTGCCTGTTAAGCTTGACAGCTGCCAGAGCATAGGCCAAATAGCCAAATAACCAAATATATCTGCACAAGCTAACAAATTAAAATTAAACGAAAGAAAAGAGAAGTAAATGAGAAAACAAAAATACTTTTTTTTTCTCTTCCCGCATCTTAAATATTTTACATTTTCCGGAATTTATTTCGCAATTTATTTGAATCCTTTCAAAAAATGTATTTCTTTGGAATTTGGCAAACTGAATGAAATAAAAGAACATGACAAATAATAATGAAAATTGACAAAAATTCGTTATTCTTCTGTTGTTTAGAAATTGTTGTTATTGTGGTGGCTATTGTGACTGCTGCCATTGCGATATTGCTTCAATTTAGCTGCAAATTATTGCTTTGAGCCAATAATATAGAGTATTTCACATAAATATGTCTTTTTGCATGCCCGTTCGCTGCCGCATTAACCGGGGCATATTGGCTCTGTGATGCATCTGCGAGGCAATTGCATGGAATATATACATTAGTAATATGCAAATATATATTAGTTGTGCCTTCGAGCTTTGCTGAGTATTATGCAGTTGAACTCGACTGCAACAACTTTCATTGCATTCGTTTGTACTTGAGCTTGTTCACATTGTCCGGCTTCCTTTTCCTTCGTTAGGGAATTTACAATTGGAATATAGAGTAGAATCTGGTTATAACGGCTCTGCTTATAGCGTCTGTACGGTTATAGCGACGAAAATTCTGGTCCTCAAGAAAACTTTTATGAGCGAACTATAGCGCCTTTCGGCCTTCCCTTGAGCGTCGTTAGAACAGGATGTTACTGTAGTATATATTATATTGGTGCTCTCATCTTATAAAGTGTTTATGGTGGTCTCACAGAAATGCGATTATCTATGAAGCTGGAGACTTGACATCTTGAATATATATGTACATCATTCAAATTTATACTGCTATATAGGCCCACTCATTATGGAGTCTTAGACAAGAAACTGAATAAGAAAAACAAAAGTCATAAAAGAATAGTAAATATTTTGTTAAAGAATCAAAATGACAAATATGCTCGATTTGACAGCTCAAATATCGGTAACATATATCGATAATATATCTATATATCGAGAAAGTTTTCAAGCTAAAAACTCCTAGTTTAACAGCAGATAAAATAGAGTAACGAAATAAAATATGAGATCTGGCAATGTGTGAGCCGTGAATGTGTGTTCTGCAGTCGGTAAAGCCCGTTCTTACTTGCTCTTTTCAATTTTGCATTTAACGTCGACTCAAAAAGGCAAATTGAATTTGGCTAATTGGTGTGTGCATTTTTAATGATTATTATCTAGCGAGCAACACTCAAAGCCATATCAGTGGATATATATTATACATACATATATATATATATATACGCATGCATGTCCATACTACACACATACATATATATAAATAACAATATGCGACAGGCGCTAAACTATGAATTAATGAAATAAATGTTTATTACTTTTATTTCATTTAGTTTGTGGCTAATACTAAATACACATGCGCGTGTCTAAATGTGTGTGTGTGTGTGTGTGTGTGCGATATGCGTGTGTGTAAACGTTAACTGTTATTAGGGAATACACACTACTTCCTCTCGCTCTCTCCCTTTCGCTCCTTTACCCTAGCGCGCTGTGAGACGTAAATAAAAATGCCTCAGCATTTCAATAAAAAGTTTTTATGTTATAATTATGGGGCAAACGAGGCAAAGACAAGAGCGCGAGAGAGAGGGAAAGGGGGAGGGAGAGACTCGGAATGCGTATAAAAATTAAGGCCTACGCCACACACATACACACACACACACGCATCTCCCACCCTCCTGCCGCACACACACACACACACACACACTGGAGAACGTCGCGGCTTGCCTTGGCCCATAATTTTTCTATTAGACAAATATGTAAGGCGCTCGGGTCGAGGGCTGGTGGCTGGGGTGTTTGTTGTTTGTCATGTGAGAGTGTAATAAATTTTATTAAAAACACACAGAAACAGCAACAACAGCAACAACAGCAACAGCAACAGCTACAGCAATAACAAACACTGCAACACGCTGGACGAGCCGAAGGAGGTGCCGCGCACATTTGGGTCATCATACGTGACCAGCACTGGAATGCCTCGAGTTGGCAGCCTGCCCCCGCCTCTGCCCCTGTTCCTAACCCTGCCCACCTTTTAGCTGTGTAAAGAGTGCGAGTTGGGGCGGGCAACGGGACCGGGGACACTGCCTGAATGTCCAGCTGAGCCAACACATAAAAAGAAAATAAACAAAAGGCCAAAAGGCAACGAGAAAAATGCAACAAGCGCAGCTGACTGACTGAACCTGAGAGAGAGAGATAGAGGGAGACAGGGAGGGAGTGGAGAAGCAGTTTGCGTAACGGGCGGTGGGCAGGAGGCGTGTGGCTGTTGGCGGTTGGCGGTTGGCGGCTGACGCTTGTCTTAGATGTGAAGTGGGGCCCAAGTTAATGGGCGTTGAATGAAGTTGACCGGCTGTCAGAAGGCGCCATAATTACATTTCACACCAGGCGGTAAACGACACGGTTGCCACACACCGAACCAACCCCCACTCACCACTCCCAAAAAACAATGATCAAGGCAACAGCTTGAGTTGCCGAATATTAAATGCTCTAATATATAAAATATTATTTATGGTCAATTAATTAAGTCCACAGCAGATTTATTCTCAGTCCCATATTAAATCCTTGAAACTCTGGAAATGTTCAGGTATTAAAAGTTAAACATAATTCTGAACTTCTTTTTCTGATTATTTTTATCAGCTTACAGCTAGACTCGACTTAGTTAAAATACTTCAACTAGTTCGTAATAAAATTGTTTTGCTGTTTCTTTGAGAAACAAATGATGGGAATGCCCGAATAGTAGTTGCCCTGAATCATGATTTAATATGCTGTTACAAGTCTATTCAGGTTATGCTTTCAATTTTTCGAAAAGAAACTGGATTTGTATGTGCTATACACAGCTCTACAAACAAAATTTTTAGTCCCTAGCTTTTAGAAGTTCTGAGATCGCCACGTTCAAACGCACGAACAAATAAACTCGAAAAATGGGTATCGAGACTCAGCTCATCGTTGTGCTTAGATATATATAAATACCTTCTGGGTTCTATGACGTCTTCTTCAGTCTTGTACACATATTAATACAAAATCATTGCACTCTGATTTCCCATTTTCAAGAGGTTCAGGGTATAAAAGGGCCCAGCCCAGCTCAGCCCAACCCCGTGATATTGATATTTGGGCTGAGACATGCATCAGGTTGAGTACAAATGAGTATCTCTCCCTTTACCTCTATCTCTCCCTCTCACTCTCTATATAAATCGCTATATATTACATTAGAAATCAGCGGTCATAAATTCAATTCAAATCAAATTCAAATAAAACCGCTTGTTTGAGCGTAGCCCTAAACTCTATTTGTCTGTCTGTCCGTTCGTCTGTTTGCATTGCACAATTATTTGTTTACGCAAAAATGACAATAAAATAAAATAATTGAAAAAAAAAAGCTGGAAAAACCTATATCAATGATACAATTTAATTAATTTCGACTTTTAATGACAGAGCGCACAGAGCACGTAAATTATATGACAATCAACTA